CCATTATCCCACCTAGAAAACAATACTTTCATAATGACCTGGAAGCTCAACTTCAAGTTAAAATTCCCAGACTCCTTAGACCCCCATATGAATCAGAGAGACCTAGAGACAGGTGTGGCCTCACCCTTCCCAGCCCCGCTCTGACGCATACCTCCAGGGACTGCGCCATCAGGCCCTGGACACCCCAGCCTCCTGGTAAGCGTGCATCACGTCTCTGCAAAGAGCTTCTCCTCCCCACACACTCACTGCAGGCCCAGGGAATGAACAGCCCTGGCGCCGTCAGGAGCAAACCCAGGAGAGAAGACTGTGCAGGTTTCAGAGGCCATCTTGGACCATTTGCACAGGGATTCTGGGGTTCCAAGCACCCGGAGCATGATCTAGGAAATGGCAGTGGTGGAGGTGGTGTGGGCTCCTGGAAAGCAATTAGGATGACCAAACTGGCTGGCCTGCATCTGTCTGGTTCTTAGAACTTAAGTTCCATGTGTGGGGAAACCCTTCTTCAGCAAGTTATAAGTCCCACTTTTCAATCTTGTGTCAAAAGATTAAAGGAGAAGTGTAAATTCCATTAAGACAGCCTTCCAAATTGGGGCTGAAAGTAACACTGTTTTCAGTGTCAAATGGAGACGATATAAATGTTCCCTCTTCCATAGACACTGTCACTGGTCACTGATGCTGGCAGCTGTGGTTTGTGGTTCACAGCAGGGGCTGCCCACGGTTCCCCACAGTTGCTCACTCAGTGACGTGCCCACTAATTCCGAGTGTGGACAGTCTCCTGACTTTGCCTGCAGACTGACCATGGTGCTTTCGTGTCAAGATGGTCAGCGTTTGATTTTCCACACCGTGAACACTGCGTTCGTGTTTGCTGAACTCTTATGAAAACTTTAGATAAAGTGAGAACCATGACGTATTACGTGTTTAATTAGCCCTGCTAGTAACCAGTACCATTGCCACCGTCAACTAGCCAGTCATTTGGTTTACGTAATCTCATTTATGTAATAAAAAAAGAAGTAAAGCCAAATATAATTTCAAGTAGGCGCTTATTTTCCATATTTCAAAGACAAATTAAGAACTCTAATGTGCATACTTATTTTTATCATTAGTTTTATCAGTATTGTTATTGATTCTCCCCAATTGGTTCCTAAAAGTTGCTTATCCTGAAAGCAAGCCCCCCTGGTCCCAGTCCTCCTTTCCATGGGAGGAGGGAGATGGCTTGTGAAGGGGCCAGCGGGCTCTAAGGTTCTACTGAAAAATGGCTCTCAAATAGACCGCAGGTCCAATCTCTGACAGAAAACTTTAAGAAGGAAAAAAACTATTTATACGCCATTAAAGGAAAATACACAAACGAGTTTGACTTGGAATTTATACACAGCCACAGAACCATGCAGACCAATAGATCTATGAGTTTACAAAGGAAATGACTTTGCAAAAAGAAAAAAAAATCATTTCTTTTTGATGATGCTTGCATTCAAGAACTCAGTTTTCTAATGTTCCTGAGGAGCAGATGCTAAACTGCAAAAATTAACTGGTGATTGCATTTCAGAAAGCGGTGATATCCGACTTCTTTATTAAGTTTGCTGTTACGTGAACAAAAGAAGAGAAACGCGTTCCTTCCATCAGCAAAGCAAGTAAGACATCTGTGCACAAGGAGACGAGAGGCACAATTTGGCGGGTGAAATTCACTGTGGTGGAAGGAATAATTGGCTTGTAAGTACAGATGCTGTAGCATCTCACAGGTTTTAAGCATGTCTTTGTTGTCATATTCTTTAGTTTTATTTTGATTTTAACTCTGGTTTGGAAACAGCAAACAGCGAATTGCACATTAACAGCGAGACAAGAGACAAGCGAACTCAGGCTCTGAGCCTCTCTGTCTCGACATCATATCCTGTAAGCTGAGAGACCTTTGGTCCAGGTTTGAGGGATCCTGCCCACCCACAGGCAACTTGGGGAACGGGATGGTGTGGGGACCTGTGAGCCCACAGAATGAGCATGACCTGGGAGCCATGCCATCTAGATGGTATTTCCTTTATGCTTTTTGTTTGTTTTCTTTGAAAATCATCTCTGAGTCTTCAAGTCCTCCTGTCTTTGTCTTTTAGGCTTTGTTACAACTCTTCCTTCTGAAGAAGACAAAGACAATTAAGTCTTGCCCTGAACAAATACAGCATTTTGAATGTGACAGTGGCTACTCCTATGTCCCTAGGACCCCTGTCTAAGTAAAGAGGCTCATCTTTTCAAAAATAAAAATAAAATTATCATAATAATAAAAAAAACATATTTTTTTTTCTGGGATAGAAAACTTTCTGTAGTCTGAAAGCCTGAGTCTCTACTAAAGTCTCTTAAAAATTACTAATCTAACCTTAGCTGGACCAGGGCACAGAAAAGAATCAGCGCTCCCTCATCACCAGGAGTGGTAAGTGATGGAGGCAGCCAGCGGAGACAGTGACTCTCATGTACGTACAAGGTTTAGGACTTTAAGGTCTTGTTCTTCCTTCTCAGGTGAAGGTTTGATCTATGTTCTCAACTCAGAGCAATGGGATGTTGTGACCAAGGGAGTCCAGAACCCCCTCCCCATGACAGCCCTGAAGAGTGGAAACAGTGGCTGTGGTCCTGGGCAGACG